TTCACTTTGATTCTTGTTTCAGGTCATATCAGCGTTGGAGACGTTGGAATCGCTTGCCAACAACAATGAACGAGAAAACGAGGAGATCTTGTCATTGCAGAAGACCGTGGAACGACTAGAACATGAGAAACAGGCGCGACAATTGCAAACAGCGAAATTTGAGGAGGTACGGTGTTATCGTTTTTTAGACGGGAATCTTTTTCAGGAGGTAAGTTAAGAAGTTCATAAACTTTGGAATGCCACTTGGAATTAAAAAAAAACGCTGAAGGTGGCTAACAGGGACACAACAATTCGTGTCCACCAGCAGGTGAAATGCTACTCAGCTTGGGCCATCCATACCTTCTGGGGAGCTTACTGATTTAGATTGATTTTACGGCAAGTTGACACACCTCTTGTTGCCCTTTTTCGTGGAAATTACGTTGAATTTATCAAAAACATGTCCGGAAGGACCCTCTAGTGCGATCCGACTGCATATCTACCACTTGAACCCCTCTGAAATTCGCTGAAATTATTAAGTACGACCCTCTGATCTAAATTGCATTCGCAAAACTAGAAGTGCGACCTCATCTAAGAAGCTGATGATCCTGAATGAAGTAAGAATGTATGGCGCATTCCGGAAGGGGTTGAGCGCCTAGACTGCACTATCTTTATCCATTGATGTAAGAAATCCCACAGGCCTTGCGCCCTTCCAAAACTGGGTTATGTGCGAATTATGTAGAATTCTGAAGTTGTCCAATTAATAACTACTGTGTTTAGGAGCTGGATCAAGTGGAAGAAACGTACAAGAAGGACATCAACGAGTTGCGACAAATGGTAAAGGCGCTAATGTCCGAGAACAAAACCCTGAGCACTACCGTCTCCTCATTGCCGGCAACTACAGAGAGCCCCACATCCGCGGCCAGTGAGTGCTTATCGATTTTATCGATCGGACGTCGGCTTTGCATCAGCTTTGAGTCTGGCCTTAACATTTCCATGGCAATGATTTCTGAGTTCGTCGAATTTTTTTGCAAGCGGAATTTTGCAAAACGTTCTTGATTGGTCTCTTACTTTGAAATCAATTGTTCGATCGATTTTAATGGCTACTTTCTCTGATGAATTTTTCTATGCGTTAATTTTTGTACTGGAAACTATGTTCTAGTGCGTGAAGAAGACGTTCGATTGATGTTTGAACTGAAAGAGATGTCACATAAACAAAAGGAAGAAATCAAAGCGTTACAACGTGATGTGGAACAATACGCTTGTGAAGTGGAAAATGTAGGTTTATTCCGTTAAATGTTGATTTTCTTCATTTTTTGATTT